AGGTGTCTGGCTTGTCCAGTGCTGCCTCTGGTGATCAGGACTGCACAGCAAGGAATTATTTTAGTTTTTAAAGAGGTCATCAGATCACCTGGAGCTGGAGTTACAGGCAGTTGTGAGCTTTCCAGTGGGGGTGCTGAGGACAGAGCTCAGGTCCTCTGCAAGGGCAGTATGTATCCCTAACCACTGAAGCAGCTCTCCAGCCCCAACCTCTACTCCTGACCCCTGTACAATCTTTATTTAAAAAACAACAAAACAAAACAAAACAACAAAAACAGAAACAAAAGCCTTCATTTGCCAACTTCCTATAACAAGAAACTCCTAATGCTTTATTTTACATCATTGTTACCCGAATCTTTTTGTTATTTGTTTGAGATAAGATCTTGCTAGAGAGCTAGATAGCCTGGCTTTGAACTTGGAACCCTCCTGCCTTCATTCCCTGGTGCCTGTATTTTAGGGTTGCACTACCATATTCAGGCAAGGTCTGTTTTTTTGTTTGCTCATTTGGTTAACATTTTAAAGATTTATTTTTAATTAAGTGTATGAGTGTGTCTGTATGTGGGCAACCCCACCACATACACTGAGCTGGAATTACAGGCAGTTATGAGACACCTGTTGTGGGTTCCTGGACCTGAATTTAGGACCTCTGCAAGGGCAGGATGTACTTATGTATCTCTCCAGCCCCAGTTTTTGTGACAGAGCCTCAGTGTGTGGCCCTGGATGTCCTGGGACTCACTTTGTAGAGCAGGCTGGCTTTGAGTGTGACTCGGTGCTGGGATTACAGACATGCACTATCACGCTCAGCAAGAACTTCTTTTTAGAAAATATGAAAATGTAAGCACTACTTGTACTCGTTTAATTGCTAAATGTTTCTACCTATAAATCTATTTAACAAATATGTCTAAATATTCAAACAAAGCCAAAATGTGATTTCTAGAATAAAATACTCATATTTAAGTGCTTATTACAGTCAAATTCTACAGATTTCAACAAAATTATATCAACTTT